GTCTTCTCAGGCCTCACATCACAGTACATGTGTGACTTATCCTCCACACACTCCTATATCTTTCAATCTGCCTTTGCTAGTGTCCCATCTTGAGAAACATACTTCAACTGCAGCTGCTTCAGAAGGCAGCAATGCATCTGCTCCATCCATATTTTCGACTGCTGAGAAGAACACTATATCTTCTTCTGTTCAGGAGTCCATATATACTCCTCCAGAATCTTCCAGCCCTGCAGAGTCTCCTCTTCATCTATCTTAGTCATCACCCTTACACCCTCCAGTTCCTGTAAACACTCATTCTATGATTACAAGGGCAAATGCAGGTATTCATAAACCCAAGGTGTTCATTGCCACTAAACACCAACTTCCATCCACTGTTGATTCTCTTACAACATTACCTCATACTCCATCAACCTTTCTCCAAACTTCTAAGTATTCTCACTGGATGGAAGCTATGCAATCTGAATTTCAAGCATTACAGTTCACTGGTACTTGGGAATTAGTTCCTAATCATTCCAACTACAACATTGTCGGTTGCAAGTGGGTCTTCAAAGTCAAACACAAACCTGATGGTACCATTGAAAGGTACAAAGCACGACTTGTGGCTAAAGGTTTTCATCAACAGGAAGGTTTGGATTTCTCCGAAACCTTTAGTCCTGTTGCTAAACCTAATACCATCAGAATTCTCCTTTCAATTGCAGTTACCTATGATTGGTTTATCCATTAATTGGATGTCAGTAATGCTTTCCTTCATGGTCACTTAAAGGAAGATGTTTATATGCTCCAACCTCCAAGGTTTGTGGATCTTTCCAAACCTCATCATGTGTGCAAACTTCGGAAATCACTCTATGGTCTTAAACAGGCCCTTAGAGCTTGGTATGAGGCTTTCTACAATGCTATTCTCTTTCTGGGATTTAGTTCATCATACTCTGATACCAGTCTCTTTATTAAATGAGACACTTCCATTACCTTTATATTGGTTTATGTTGATGATATAATTATCACTAGAAGTTCAATCACTGAGTGTCAATCAATCATATCCCAACTTCAAACCATGTTTCCTGTCAAGGATCTAGGAGATATTCATTACTTTTTAGGTATTGAAGTACACAAATCTGACAGGGGCTTGTTAATGCATTAGGCTAAGTATGCTTTAGACTTACTAAAAAAGACAAATATGCTTGGCGCTAAACCTTGTGCAACACCTGTGTCCACTTCCAAACTAGACCATTCTGGCACTCTTCTATCTGATCCCACCTCTTATAGGTCCACAGTTGGTGCCTTACAATATCTTACTTGGACAAGGCCTGATTTAGCTTTTGCTGTCAATCAGGTTTGTCAGTATATGCACCTTCTAAGAACCATACACTTGCAGGCCGTCAAACGCATTCTGAGATACCTTAAAGGCACTGTGGATTCAGGACTTTGGTTTACTAAAGGTCTTCAATGTCTCACTGCTTGGTCTGATGCAGATTGGGCAGGTTGCCCTGTGGATAAAAGGTCCACTAGTGGGTATTGTGTGTTCCTAGGCTCTAACCTCATCTCCTGGAGTACAGGTCTCTTACTAATACTGCTGCTGAAATTACATGGGTGTGCAAGATTCTGCATGACATATCCTTCCCTCTGTTAAAGACACCTGTCATCTACTGTGATAACAAAAGTGCCATTGCTCTTGCATTCAATCCAGTTTTTCATGCTCGAACTAAGCATGTTGAAATTGACTATCATTATATTCGAGAGAAGGTTTTACTTGGTCATATTGGTGTTCAACATGTTGCTTCCCTTCTCCAAATCACAGACATTTTTACCAAGCCTCTAGCTGCTGATCGATTTGCTGCCCTTACTTACAAGCTTTCAGTTCGATCACCTTCCTTCAGCTTAAGGGGGTGTGTTAAGAGTACAATCTCACACAGCAGCAATGCATCACAACCACCACCAGATTAGATTCCTTCACTTGGTTGTTATGCTTGGAATGTTTGTGATTAGTTATATATTTTATGCTGAGCTGGCACATATATTAGGATAGGATATTTATGTATAAATACCATGTGTATTATTCAGTTGAATTAATAAGAATCACAATTATATTTTTACTCTTTCTCTCTACAACTCTCTTTCTCTCTCTTAAATGAATTTCCCTCTCTGAGTTCTTAACTTCAACAAATCATGCTCTTCCTTCTCCATTTGCAATGTCTCTAATACTTCTCTTGCATTTTCTTGGATCGTATCTGAACTGCACCTTGTAGCATATATACATGTTCTTTGTGCCTTGTAAAGTCAAGTACAAAGGATGCTATGCTTATTGACTATCGAAGAAGTTGTGGTTAGTAGCCGGACTTGCACCAATAAACATACGGTACGATATGCTCTCCGTGTGTGGTTTTTACATATTTCATTTATCTAATCGTACAAGCAATATTTCCATACGCACTTGCCTAACTTGGCTTATATCGATTGGACTTTATATTTTGCAGATAGAGACACTCTTGGTAATTGATCTTGGATATTAGATGTTTTCTTTGAAGAGAGCTAAGGAACTAATACTACCATGGTTTTGTCTAGTGTTTCAGAGCCTATGTAAATTTTTTGTTTTGAAACGTTTGTTACATCCTTCGAAGGTGCCTTTATTCCGCATAAGGATGGTTGCAGATTTTTGGATAATACTGGAGAGATTTTAGAACTGTATCTGTTAGTCTATATATTGTTCGACAAAGTTATGCAAGTCTTATGATAGTTCGTGATACTCTTGTTTTGGATGATAACTTTATGACATGTTTTGAAATAAAATCCTAAACCTAGTGATGACCCAGAAGTTGCCACGTGGCAGTGAGAAATAAAATAAATAAAATTTTAAAAATTCATATAAAATGGGGGAAAATCAGGAATAAAAAATATTCCAAAAGTTGCTACGGCCCCGTTGCAGGGTGCTTGTCATTTGGATGCAAAAAACTCGAGAAAGGTTGTATCAACGAATCTCAAGCTGCCACGTGGCACACATTGATAAATTACTATATAAGGTGTAAATTCATATAAAATCGTAGAAAAATTGAAAAAAAAAAAGTTTTAAAAGTTGCCATGAACTCCTTGAACCGTGATCGTCGAGAAATGAGCACAAAACCTCGATTACGAGTTGAAATGATATAGGAGAAGTTCACAACAACATTGTGTATATTGAACATACCAACTCAAAAACATCGCATTCTCAGTCACATACAAATTGACATAATATTTTTCGCATTTATAAATTAATTATTATGAATTTTATTAATTTTTAACTCCCCCTAAAACATTGCTCATGGGATTTCTACAGTTTAAATAATCCAAACAACGATGTATTCATCGTCAAAGTGTAGAGGAAGTGATCATGAGTGCTAGCATAATTTTTTTACATTTTTACACTTGTAAATTAATTAGCTTGATATATTAACACCTCACATATTGTTGAATACACACATATATTTAATACACCTCACATTTTTTTTTATTAAAACTTATCTTAATACACCCCCACATACTTTCCTATAATACAATAACACTCCACACTCTCAACATACACTTTACATTTTCTACACAAAAGATACACCTCGCACTCTTTACATCTTAGGTGCAAATAGTAGTAATACATAATGTCATCTAAGGCACCTTCGATGTGAAGTTGAAGACCGGTGTAATACCAGAATTTTTCTAATTTCTCTATTGGAGTGAATTAAATTAAAGATTTCATTGATAAACCTTTGTATCATGGATACTTTACGATCTTATATATAACTAATTGAAAGACTACTTAATTTGACTTTCGTGTTCTAGCAGGTTTATACAATTTGAATTTGGAACTACATACCTTATCCAAAATGGTTAATGAGATTGACATAACTCCGTCTTTGAGATTTAAAATCGATAGAAGTGGTCCCTGAGATTGTCCATATTGTGAGAAATCTCCGTTAAATTAAGGGAAGTGTTGTTAACACTCCAAAAATCTCATTATACACTCCCCACAAGTGTATTTTTCTTTCCTAATATAAAAGTTTGGAGTGTAGAATGAGATTTTTGGAGTGCTAATAAAAATTTCCTAAATTAAAGGTATTTTTGTCAAATCAATCCCTTACATAAACTTGTGGTTTCTTCAATTTAACATGCTCTTTTTTTTTTTTTTTTTTTTTTGGTGAATAGAATGACAAAAATTGTTGACAATGGACAATCTTAAGGATCACTTTTATCGATTTCTTATAAGGTCGAAAGTGTCATTGCATATTAAGATATATAAGTCATTTAATATTAAATTTTAAAGTGAAGTGTATTCAACACTATGTATGTGAAGTGCCTTATAAGAAATCTTGTAAAACAACGTCGTTTTAAGACACTTCGGTTCGGTTTTTAAACCTCTGAAATCGAAATTGAACCAAAACTTTTTGGTTTGATTTTTTGTTTGTTTGGTTTTTTCGATTTTGGTTCGGGTTTTTTTTTTTTTTTTTTCAAGTTTTCGGTTTTTTTGAAACCATCCTTAATATACATGATGCAAAAATGTATCCCAGAATATTTCTATCGTTCTTTCTCCAATTCCAAATCCAAAATTTTCTCACAAAAAGTAAAATTAAAAGCTTCTTGTACAAAATATACAAAATGTGTGTTCCGGTAAAAAAAAAAAAAAAATTGTGTGTTCCTCATTTTAGGTGTTATGATGGAAAGCCACCAATAGACATTTATTATCGATGTATATTTAATTGTTGAATTAAATTTAACGATTTAAATTGAATAACTTAGCAGTCAAATATGTGTAAGAACTGATTACAAAGGTAAAAACAATTATCGCCTAATGAGGTGTTCCGCTTGAGCAATAAACCCAAAAATGCCCATGTTTTGTTTGGGAAGAAGAAGGAAAATGGCAAAAAAAGGACCAAAAGTGGTCCAAAACTATTATAAAAATAAAATAAAATAAAATAAAAATAAAAATCCCAAGTGAGAGAGAGCCTGGAAATAGAAATCGAAACCCCCCCCCCCCTATTCCAAGAATCCAAACCCTAGTTTTAGTTTTATACATAAATCATTAGATTTTAGATTACACACATATGCTCCTCTCCCTCTGTCTCTCTCTCACCACTCTGGTCCTCTGTGTTCCCCACCACCTTCATACAGACCAATACTCGACTTTCTCTCTCCTTCGCTCTTCTCGAACCTTCTCGATCTGCAAAAGCCCTAACTTGACAATTTCGACAATTTCAGCTCCCACTCCTCCCAAACTCCAAACCCCAGCAGATTGGGAATCCCCTAATTTGCTTCCATTCGCAGGTCAATTACAATTCTCCGCGCAATAACCCTATTCGTGTTCTGCTGGGCGTTTTGGTTCTTCGACCTCTGTTCGTCAACCACTCAATTGGGGCTTGGACTTTTTGGTACTTGGGCAGCTTTCGAAGTGTTGAGCAACCGGAGGAGGAAGAAGGAGCGAGCTGGAATTACGATTTTGCCCTCGTGATCTGGGTCACTACTAGTTCGAGAGCAATTCGGGGTCCATGTCAGAGGTCTGCTTTTTGTTTTGCCCTTTTTCCCTCTCTTTCTCTCTCTTACTGGTTTCAAAGCATTGAATTTCTGCTTCTTTCTATCGGTTCTGTTTGTTGTTTGTTTAAAGATTTGCTTTTGGGTTATCCTGAAAAGTTGCGGGATTTCGTTGTGTCTTCATCGGTAGTTTCAGCAAGAATAGAGATTTATTGACTAGGGCAAGAGAGAACAAAGAAAGGAGAAATCTTTGAAGAATAAGCTTAGCCTTGTGAGAAAAGATTAGCATTTTATATCAGAGTGGCAAAAATGTGGCAGTATTCACGACGTTTAGCTAAGAAAATATGGCGTTCAAATTTGTGTAAGTGGTAGTGAAATTGAAACCTCGTCGCGTACTTAGCTGCTTGCCCTAGTTCAGTTACAACAGCGGTGTGTGTAGAGTTATTAGTGATAGTCATAAGAATTGGTGCTGCTTGTTGAATCTATAGTAGGAAGAACCAAGCAAAATCTTTGTTGGATTAGCAAATGGAGTATTCCAAGTTCTTTTGTGCACACCGGCAACCTTGTTGGGTACTCAACATTAATTTTTTCAGTGTTTTCTTTTGAGATTTGTAAAAGAATCCACTGTACTAGTTTGCGGGTCTGTTTTATTTTGCGTTTCTGGGAGAGAAACAAGAATAGGAAGCTCGGTGTTATATACTTTGGCTTGCTTATGAGTCATGCATACAGTTTAGATGAGGTGCTTTTTTCCCCTCCAGAGTTATCCCTTTTGGGTATTAGATATTTGAGTAGCTTCGATAGAAGGTGAAGTACTAGGTATGTTCTGAATTACACAGGAAAAAAAGATGTCTCTTGGATCACACAAGGCTACTTAGGAATACCTTATCCTGAACTTTGCACCACTTTGTCTGAATATATTATACTCAGACATTATTGTACTTATTGGAGAAAAACTTTGAACATGTTCCTTATTGGAGAATTTTTTTTAAGACGTTCCCTTTTTATATTTTGGATTTTTATGACTCATTGCAGTATTTATGGTTTGCCAAAACTCATGTTTTATTTGTATGTGACGTCACAGTTGTTAGTGGTCCACCACTTCATGAGACATTGACCCATGGATCCTGAAGGAACGAAGTTTGGACGAGGTAGAATGTTTTTTCAATATAGTGTTCCGTTACAAATTTATTCACATTCCCTTCTTGGTTGAATTTTTATTGGTAGTTAATTACATATTTAACAGAAGTATTCATAGCTGAAGCACTCTTCAAAACCTCATTTATTCATGTATAGCACAGAATTTTGAACTTATCAAGAGAGCCATGTGGCCTCTATCCACCCTCATTTATTCTTGGATGAGATACCAATACATATTTAATATTTAATTTCGGATATTCTAAATTTCATAACTCTCTTAAAATATACTTATTTCAATCTACCGAGAATTCGAGTCTTTTGCTTCTATAATGTCACTGGATGCATGTTTTGATATTTAAGAGCATTTTATCTTATCTGATGAAATTTTGTTGGATACAGGACCAAAGGAGTTGACTGGTGCTGTAGATCTCATAAGTCACTACAAGTTACTTCCCCACCATGAGTTTTTCTGCAAGCGACCACTTCCAGTATCAATATCAGACACACACTATCTTCACAATGTGGTGGGAGACACAGAAATCAGAAAAGGAGAGGGGATGCAGTTGGATCAACTTATTCAGAGTACATCATATCCCCGGGATACAAAACCACGCATACAGCCTTTTGAACTAGATACTCTCAGAGAGGCTTTCCATCTTAGAGAAACGGCTCCTATTGATCTACCACTTGTGAGACTTTCTTACTTATATTGGATGATAGTCTGTTATTTATCTTCTTTTCCAATAGATATGTGGTCCTGCAAAAACGTTTTCCTTTCCAGGTTCTCATTGTAATTGATATCTTGTTTTGTCTTCTATAGGCAGATAAGGGGACTCCAACTATTGCAGGGAAATCAAAGAGCGAGTCTAAAGACAAGGAGAAGAAACACAAAAAGCACAAGGACAGAGACAAAGAGAAGGATAAAGAGCACAAGAAGCGTAAACACCGTCATAAAGATCGAAGCAAAGATAAAGACAGGGATAAGAAGAAGGATAAAAGTGGGCATCATGATCCGTCCGGTGATCACTCAAAGAAACATGAAAAGGTTAGAAAATGGTACACCCGTACCGTTAAATTTGAAAAGAATGAATGTGAAATTTTTATCCAAATAGCTCTGATATGTCTGGAGTCATGAACCGCCATTGTTTGTCTTGCAATCTAATTCCAGTTTTTTTGTTCACCAACACCATATTTTGTGTTTTTTCAAATTTAGTTGAATATTCATAGGGATTTACAGGCTTTAGTTTTGTTACTTGTATAATCACAGAAAAGGAAACACGATGGAGATGAAGACCTTAATGATGTCCACAGACACAAAAAAAGTAAGGTAATATAAAAATGAAACTTTTCGTTTGGAATTATACTTTCGTATCTCGAATCCTTCCTTTAATGTTTTGCTTGGGATCTGCATAATATGCCCACTATTTTTGTATAGCTCCTTTGCATCTACATTTAACCAAGGTCTCTGTTTCTCACTATCTTTTCAGCATAAGAGTTCAAAACTTGATGAAGTGGGCGCAATCAAGGTAGCTGGCTGAAAGGCGGGGATATTTTAGTAATTTTGTTTTCTTCAAATGGTTGTCATTCAGTCTGGAGGGGTCTTACACTTGATTTTGTATTTCTTGAGGTACACACCTTTACATTTTCTGTGTATTTTGATTAAGATACTCTGTACTTTTAGCTTCTGCATTGCACTGTCACTATTTTATTTCTTTCCTCTTCACAAACTGATGGGTCAACTACTCATTTTCATTCACATTTGATAGGGCTTTATGTTCTCTGTAATATGCGATCAGTTGAGGTTGGCATGGAAATAAGGATATATAAATACGAAGGCAAGTTAAAGAATGAGTTAAAGGGATTTATTTAGTTTTAGGAAGTTAGATGTGGTGCTAGTTAAAGTTTGTCAAACGCAATGCACGTTTGCACTCTTCACCTCATCTGTATGGTAAGAACATTATTCATTTCTTATGTTGTTGAAAAATATGCATTTGGGGACTGCCAAGAGTTTGGGTTTGATGTGGTTCTGTAGGCTTTTTAGGTTCTTATAAGTACTCTGTATGCGCAGATCTGGTTTAAAACAATTACGTTATGCCAAAACCTCCACTCTTGTTTGACAACTTGCTGTTTTTAATAGGCTTATGTGTAGTATTGTATTGTTGCCATGGAACTTAGATGCATGATGCTTTTGGTTTATGTGCAGAATAACTTTTGAACTGACTAAAGATTGTGAAGAAGGTGAATTCACCTGCTGAAAATATGTGGATTAAAGGTAAGAGTTAGTGAAAGTGAACTTCCTTGTATAATAACAATGATCTAATATGACTTCCAGTAGTTTGCAAAAAAAAACTATTCTGTTTTCATGGCACATTGATATGTATGTCCGCGGTATTAAGATATTTTTAGCATTTTTTAGCAGTCCAGAATTTATAATTTGTGAGGGAGAGTTTGTAGCTTCCAGTTATAGGAAAAATAGGTTTAGGAAGAGAGTGTATATATGATTTCTTTCGTTCCTGTTATGTTGTATCAATGGCTAACATCACTGCTGATCCAAAAACATCTAACATCTTGGATTATGTCTGTTCTCACCTGACTTCTAATTAGTATCAGTGAAATATTCTTTTTGCAAAAAAGTATAGACTGATGATTTGTATTCGAGACGATCATTATTCCTGCTGTTGTATTTTGCAGTGTGAATGACATCATTCTTCTATTCTATGCTGCTATCTCATGATGGGAACCTTTCTTGGTCATCTTTGTTTTAGGTTCCCTATCAATATGTTTTTGGGTTTGTTTTGTATTTAGCGTATATTGAGAGAAATTATTTTCTAGTATCACGCATCCCTCCAAGATCTCAACTTGGAAGCGAGGCGTTATAAGCTAGCGTTGTGTGATTAATTGGGGAAACCATTTCTGTCAGTGCCTGGTTTTACTAAACCGTCATGAGAGAGAAGCCTCCCTGGACATATGCTAGTGGGAAAGGAAGAGAAAATGGTCTACCTTCTTTCTGGAAAAATTTAGTCACTCAAACTCTGGTCATCATCTAGATCATCAGGAGTTTTATACTATAACTCAGGTATAAATTGGGAGGATACTCAGGCTAATTATCAAAAGGTTATTGGGAGGGTTGTTAGGGGAAGAAAACTTTTCGTTCTGCAGGATGACGTCGATAACCATTGTAACTTTAAAGGATTGCCAGAATATTGCGCTATGGGGAATTATTTTTTGCTTTTAATCTTCAGCCTCTTCACATGTTCAACATATGTAACTTACCAACTGCTGAGATTATAATTCGTTTGCGTTCTGCCTTCTGCCTTCTGCCTTCTGCCTTCTTCTGATTCCTTATGAACGGGCGGCTTTCTGGGATTTTTATGCCGACTGACTCTGTTGAATTGTTGAATGCACCTCAGTGCATGGATTGTCATTCGCTGGCCTTTTGGCAGAACATAATTTTATAGAAGTTTAATAGATTCTGTACATTTTTCCGGCCTAATAGTAGAGGATAAACGTACCGATCTTAAATGTATAGGCTTGGGAACCATACTGCTTCTCTTCCCATAAAAGAATCACAAGAGAAGGTACAACAACGCTGCAAGATCCAATCCAATCCGTCCCAACTCACCAACTGAATCCAGTTCAATTTTAATTGGTGTCAATGATCTGGCAGATCTATATCTCTGAAACCGGCATGATTGTATCAGATGACGGATTTCATACTTTTTCGCCCTTCAATTTCTGACCAAGTAATTGACTAAAATTATACGTTTCGAACATCAGAAACACCCTTACAAAGCTGAGGCCTTGTTCATATCATTAACTCATAACCAGGCCGACAGTTTTTCCTCTCACATCTGTTCTCCCAGAAATTAAAAGAAAAAAAAAAAAAAAAAAAAAAAACCAGATTAGGCTACACAAGCCAATCGGTCGGTTGCACTCCCATTTGAACTCAAAAACCCAGTCCTAGTTACCACATTTTCTTGAGTTTCAGAGGCGAAGATGCTCGAAAGACTTTTACTGATTTACCTCTACACAGTTTCCGTCTTCGCAAGCTTGGCACATTCCAGGACGATGATCAAGTTGAGAGAGGAGATGTCAAGCCAGAAACTGCAGAAAGCCATCCAACAGTCGTAGTTGCCATGCACTCCTTTTTCTTTGTTATTTGGCTAACAGTGTTGGGTGTGAACATAGACTTTGATGAAAATACACCTGCAAAATAATAACACCTTCGATTAAGGCCAAAAGCCTCACACACCCATGATGAAGAGGGGGGAGGGGGTTTCGCCGAAGAAATGCCAAAGTTAGTATTCTGAAAGGAATGTATTTTTAGGAGTTTGTGGGTAGTAAATGGTTTCGCATTTTAGTGGGATAAATGTAGTACTTAGAGGAGGGTGGCTGATGGGAGTGGCCGGCCATATATGATGATTTTAGGAGTTACCTTATTGAATGGAATCAATGAGGGAATGATGAGTGAAATTTGAATAAATTCCATAATAATCACCTTTGGCTCTTCCATGGATAGAGATAATCTTGAGCCGTTATTGTATGTTGCATGCACGTATGAATTCAGGTGTGCCTTGTCCATCTAACGAGGGTAATCTCGTCTTTCTTGTGAAAAAATCCACATGTTGCCTCTATGATTTTTGAGATTATTTTTTACTCCACAAATGCCCTCACACTTGATGGGCTGCTCGTATGAAAGGATCCCAAGCTGCTTAGGGAAACATAAAATTGCTTCCTAATTTGATATAGATTCCCACTTTGACTTGGAATTAGATTCTTCTAGGAAAGGGAATTAAATTGGCACCAAAGCCTATTTAAACCTACCTTAAGTGTGGGATTAAATCAACTTTGGAGAGCAATTATTTATCCCTACAAGAAAGAGAGAAAGCTAGAGGATATTTATTCCCCCTCCCCTAACATTCTTCTTCGCTTATCCGTGCTGTTGATGCATAAAAAATCGAGTGGGTCTTGAGACAACGTAAATCCGACCGTGAATCGTATAAAAGCTCAAGAACACAAAGAACACAAAGAGGTATCGTGGTTCACCCCAATGTTTGGGCTACGTCCACACTGATGTTGATTGTATTTTTCTGTATGAATGTATGGATTACAAGTGTGAGGGGGAGTCCCCCAGAGAAAGAGAGAGTTTGAGAGAGTTTCTCTGTTTGTGAGCTTTGTGGCTTCTGTATATGAGGATGAAACCTGAGGATTGTGAGGGTGATAAGGCCCTTTTATAGACTAAGGGCTTCTCTCCTTTTACATAAATCATGGGCTCAATGTCTGGAAGCCTAAGTAACGAGGCCCAATATAATATGGTACCAACAGTAGTCCCCCAAGTCTTCAGTCAAGAGTCTTTTGGCTGGAGACTTCAAATCCAGTCTATGTGTGGGCCGAAGTGACTAGATGTTGTCCTGAAACAGTACTCGACATGAAACAATGCTTAACATAAGGCAATACTCAACTAGAGGTGTTACACGTTGCGAGGCTACTTAGCTAGAGTCAATGTTTGTAGCGAGGCGATCGCTCGACTGGAGGCAGTGCTCGTTGAGAGGCTGCTCGGATAGAGGCAATGTTCGCGGTGAGGCGGTTGCTCGGTTGGAGGTGATGCTCATTGCGAGGCTGCTCGGCTAGAGGCAACGCTCGCGGTGAGGCGATTGCTTGGCTGGAGGCAGTGCTCGTTGCAAGGCGGCTCGGCTCGTGGTGTTCCTCATTGTGAGTATGTATTTTATGCCAACGTGCACTCATTGTGAGTTAATTCTCGATATGACTCGGGTCCGCTTGTCAAGTTCACGTATCGAGTCTATGTATCGGGTCCGCAGATCTGGTCCACCACTCGGGTCTTCGAGTCGGGGCCATAAGTCGGGTCTCTGAGTTGGGTCCGTGAGTCGAGATTCGAGCTCAAGGGCATCCCATCTCGTAAGTGCCCGAATGAATAGGTGTCCGAGCTTGCGGGTGTCCAAGCACATAGGTGTCCGAATAAGCGAGTGTCCAAGCAAGTGGGTGTCCGGTCAGACAAGAGTTTACTGTTCGGACTGAATCTTTGTCACCATAAGCACATGGTCTGTCAGTCTACAGGTTGATAGACTTCTTTAATCGGCGACAATTTTGATCAGTAGAGCTGGTTGCTCAATAATTCCTGACATTAAATGGCAGCATAAGTGTGACTGTATAAATCAAATTGACAAAGTTTGTCAAGGCAAAATATTGTACTATGTGCCTTCTGTGAATAAATGATTTATTATGTTGTGTGATAAATGACATGTTACATAAAACAATATATTAGGTATTGCCTAAATGTGTGTGTGTATATATATATATAATCATGAATAAATGATTTATTCAGTTGTTTGATAAATGACATGCTGCATAAATCAATAATATATTAGGTATTGCCTAAATATGTAGGTTATTAGAAAAAATATATATATATATATTAGCCACAATGGGGATATAAAATGGCAGGCAGTTTCATTAGGTGCCATAATCATCACATATTGTATTCGTCTGTTATTGTGCATGTCATGTGACACCACACACCATCACTTTCTGCATGTACTTATATATTTGCATGGCAGACAAGGTGTGGCAGAAATATTTAAAGTGGAAGCTAATAATAAAAGTGTTAAGAAAGGTGTTCTTATCTGTGAGTTTTTTTTTTCTTTTTCCTTTGTGAGAGTGGTTGACACCAAAAGCAAAAGCAAAGGCATCTTATCTTTCTTTTGAATTTGGTGGTCTATAGCTTTTGATAAAGCTTCATGTACGTTCTAGCCTTGAGAAGGCGGGGAACAAACAGAAGATAACTCAGAGGTAGACGATGAGCCTGCAACTAGCTGGTCTGAGCCTTGGTTCTTTTAGGAGGGACCTTGCCCTCGGACCCCGTATAGAACGAACTGGAGCAGCAACCATCTACGGGGCCGCTTGGGGTTCTTCTTCTTACTTGTGAGACAACAGCATAGAGGAACTGTGCACGACAGTGCCCAAGAAGGCAGTCCACGAGGTCCGACAACCTGAGTGATGTCGCAGTACTCTTCCTCGAGAGTTTGCTGGCCAGACCCCAATAGGTGACGGACGGCGTCGCGGCAAGCGTCGTAGACGAAGGAGTGGGAACTGCAGTGCCACACCCGGGTCGCTGTTGTTGCTGGGACCCAGTTTTCCTCCACTCGGGCCGGCTTGCTGCCCCGATTCGGTTGCCTCGTTCCAACCCATATGTGGCTTGGCTAGTTTAACTTCAGAATTGGTTGATTCTTGGGAAAGCAATTTCTGCATGTCAATGGATGGTATTTGATAAGCATGATGATCAGAAAGCTCTTCTATGGAGAGTCTAATGTTTTCTTCGACACCAAACCCGCTGTTGGTGGTGGTGTTATTGTGGTGGTGGATGTCTGAAGAACAAGAATCAAGTAATCAAGAGACGAAGGAATTGGTTTGGGGATATGGGTTTCTGGGTTTTTTGCAGATTCACGGTGGAGATTGTGATATGAAAAAATGAAAAGAGAACCGACGTAATTTTTTGTGTCATTTCCCACAGACGGCACAAAATCCGGAGGATCTTGGACCAACGTAAATCCGGCCATGAATCACAAATGCTCAAGAACACAAAGATGTATCGTGGTTCACCCTAATGTTTGGGCTACGTCCACACTGATGTTGATTACGTATGTATGTATGGATTACAAGTGTGAGGGGGAGTCCCCCCAGAGAAATAGAGAGTTTGAGAGAGTTTCTCTGTTTGTGAGCTTTGTGGCTTCTATATGTGAGGATGAGACCTGATGATTGTGAGAGTGAGGAGGCCTTTTATAGACTAAGGGCTCCTTCCCTTTTACATAAATAATGAGCTCAATGTCTGGAAGCCCAAGTAACGAGGCCCAATATAATATGGTACCAACACGTGCAAAGAATTGTTCGTCGTCGTTCTTCTT